GAAGGAGAAAGAGGAGAAGATTAATTGCGGAGCCGAGGATCAAAGGGATTTTCTTTTGGAGCGAAGGACGGAGCTATTTTGAGGAGGACAGATCCTGCGGCGGCGGCGGCGGCGGCCAGCGGTCCTGCCCTTGTTTGGGCACGGCGGGAAAGCGCCATCTGGTGCCCTTTCCCCGGCTGCGGAAGGGGCGGGGGACGGGGGACGGGGGGGGGCTCCTTTTTGTTCATACCTCCTTCAGCCTCTTCTTCGCTTTCTTTATTTCGACCTCTTTCTTGTTTTTATTTTATATTATGTTCTGTACCCTTCTTCATCTTCCTCTCCTCCTCCTTTTTTCTTCGTCCTCCCTCCAACCCTCCCCTCCCTCTCCAACCCTCCCTTTTCCCTCTCCTTTCCGCCACCACTGACAAGTCCTTTGCTCGCTTGACTGAAATCCCAAGGCAGAGGAGGAGGAGGAGGAGGAAGAGGAAGAGGAAGAGGAAGAGGAAGAGGAGGAGGAAGTGGAGGAGGAAGAGAAGAGGAAGAGGAAGAGGAGGTGGAGGAGGAAGTGGAGGTATTGGTGGAGGTGGAGGAGGAGGAAGAGGGGGTGGAGGTGGAGGTGAGGAGGAAGTGGAGGTATTGGTGGAGGTGGAGGAGGAGGAAGAGGAGGTGGAGGTGGAGGAGGAAGTGGAAGTATTGGTGGAGGGTGGAGGAGGAGGTATCGGTGGAGGAGGAGGTATCGGTGGAGGAGGAGGTGGTGGAGGAGATGGTGGTGGAGATGGTGGTGGAGGTGTAGGAGGAGGAGGATTCGGTGGCGCCCGCGCGATCGACCGAATGACCTCGCGCGGGGAAGCGGCCTTTAAAGGGGCCGTGCGGAGGGCGCTCTCGGTCTCCGTCGGTCTGTCGGTCGGTCGGTCTTTTTCTCCCTCTTTGTTTCGGGATTTCTGTGTCTGTCTTTCGGTACGTCCGTTTATCTGGCCTTCCGTTCTCTCTCCTTCTGCCTCTCCCTTTGCCTATCTACCTGCCTCTGTATGTATGTATGTATGTATGTATATCTATCTATCTATCTATCATATATATACATATATATATATACATATACATATACACACACACATTCCTATATCCCTTCATCTCCCGCGCTCCCCGCCCGTCCCTCTGCATGAGGAGCAGCAAAACCCGCGACATGCACATCCATGCAGGCCACGCAGGCCCGCGCGCGCGCCCCGGCGAGTGCTGCTGCAGAAGTGGATTGCGATGTCAGGGATCTCGCGGCACTTGACATCCGCTGGCGCTGTGGACAGGTTGCAGGACGACGCGGCCGCCGCGCCAAGGTCACCCGGACGCGCGCGCGCACGCCCTCACGTTCCCATACCATCTAAAACACTCATATGTCACTCCCATATACACACGTGCACGCTCATGAATACGTATATGCATATACACTAACCTTTGTAAACGCACGCACACATGCGCTCGCTCGCTCGCTCGCACACACGCGGACACACACGCACACGCACACGCACACACGCACACAGAGGCATATTAAGAGGCGTTCCCTTCTCGCCATGACTTCTACCCCGGAGGACTCGGCCTCCAACAAAACAAAACGGGGGAGGCCGCGCTGGAGCAGTGGCGGTGGCGGTGGCAGTGGCGGTGGCAGTGGCAGCCCAAGTAGTAGGAGCAGCGGCAGTATGTGTAGCAGTAAGCGCAAAAAAAAAAGAGCGGCAGCAGTATCAGCTGGAGTGACAACAACAAAATCAGCAGAAACAGCAGAAGCCTTTGCGACACCGCAGCGGAGGGGGAAGGGAGAGGGGAGGAGGGAGGAGAGGAGAGGAGAGGAGAGAAGAGGAGAGGAGAGGAGAGGAGAGAGAGGAGAGGAGAGGAGAGGAGAGGAGAGAGGAGAGGAGGAGAGGAGAGGAGAGAGGAGAGAGAGGAGAGGAGAGGAGAGGAGAGGAGAGGAGAGGAGAGGAGAGGAGAGGAGGAGAGGAGAGGAGAGGGGAGGAGGAGGGGAGGAGAGGGAGGAGAGGGGAGGAGAGGGGAGGGAGGAGGGGAGGAGAGGGGAGGAGAGGGGAGGAGAGGGGAGGAGAGGGGGAGAAGGGGGAGGAAGAGGGGAGGAGAGGGGAGGAGAGGGGAGGAGAGGGGAGGAGGGGGAGGAGAGAGAGGGGAGGAGAGGGGGAGGAGGGGAGGAGAGGGGAGGAGGGGGGAGGAGAGGAGGAGAGGGGAGGAGAGGGAGGAGAGGGGAGAGGGAGGGAGGGAGGAGGAGGGGAGGAGAGGGGAGAGAGGGGAGGAGAGGGGAGGAGAGGGGCAGGAGAGGGGAGGAGAGGGGAGGAGAGGGAGGAGGGAGGGGGAGAGGGGAGAGGAGAGGGAGGAGGAGAGGAGGAGAGGAGAGGAGAGAGAGAGGAAGAGAGGAGAGGAGAGGAGAGAGGAGGGAGAGGAAGAGGAGAGGGAGGGAGAGGAGAGGAGAGGGAGAGGAGGAGGAGGGGAGAGGGAGGAGAGGGAGGGGAGGGGAGGGGAGGGGAGGGGGGGGAGGGGAGGGGAGGGGAGGAGGGGTGGGGGAGGAAAGGAAATTAGCAGAGAGGAGGTATTCTGGCTGCTGTGTTGTTTTTAGCAAGGGCCGTCGCGTTGCATCACTTATGTTGCGTCAACTGCAGAGAGGGGGGGGGGGAGGGCCGGCTAGGGAGGCGGAGCAGGGCAGGGGAGGGGAGGGCGAGGGAGAGAGAGAGGAGGAGGGACGAGAGGGTCAGGGGGGGGGGGGGGGAGGGAGGGTCAGACAGAGGTGGGGGAGAGGGGAAGGGAAGGGAAGGGGGCAGGATGGCAGGAGAGAGGGGAGGGAAGAGGAGGGGTTGAGGGAGGGGGAGGGGGGTTGAGGGGGAGGGGAGGGAGGGGGGAAGGGGCGGGGGGTCCGGACAAGGAATTAGGACGTGCAAAGAGGTCTCCCGGGAAGTCCTGTCGTTAATGATGATAATGATATCTGGGTCGTGTGACCTCGTGTGAGGAGGGACCTTCCCCTGGGAGGTTGGTGGGGCATGGTGGTGGGGTCATGGTGGTGGGGATGGTGGTGGTGATCATGGTGATGGTGGTAATGGCAGTACTAATGGTGATGGTGGTGGTGGTGGTGATTGTAGTACTAATGGTGATGTTGGTGGCGATTATGGTGGTGATCATGGTGATGATGGCAGTACTAATAGTGATGGTGGTGGTGATGATTCTGATTCCAGTTTATTTGGGAAGCTCTTGGCTTGATAGTGATGATTAGTGATGTCAGTTTTAGCCATTGTATTGAGCTCAGGGGAGGGGTGATGGGGAATCGGGGAGTGGGGAGGGGAGAAGTCGGGATATCGGGAGTCGGGGGGGGAGAGAAGTCGGGGAATCGGAGGGGGAGTGAGGGTGAGGGGAGTGGGGGTGAGAAATCGGGGAATCGGAGAGGGGAGTGAGGTTGAGGGGGGGAGAGAAGTCAGGGAGTTGGGGAGTTGGGAGGGGGGGGGGGAAGGCTGCCGCGGGTGCGTGGGAATACCTTAAGCTTCTATAAACACGTTTGACAACTGGGCTCCGACGCTGCTTTTCGAGGCCGACCGCTGCGCCTGCTGCCCCCCCTCCCCGCCCCTCGCCGGAAACGGGGAGGCGGCCGCCCATTATTCCATTGCTCGAGTTAATGGTCTTTATGGTTATCTATCAATCAGTTTCCATCTTTAGTTATTCAAACGGTAAGAAGAAGAATGAGAATATATTTTTTACAATAAATATGATAATAATGATTTTTTTTATAATAAGTATGATGGTAATAATAATAATAATAATAGAAAAAGGCATTAATATTATTAAAGACATTAATGATAGGTTTAATGGCCGCGCGGCGTGTGGCTACCTTGAGAAAATGAATGGCGCTCGAGCGGTTAAATGGCCGGCAGGATTTATTGTGGCAACGGCAGGTTCGCTGTTTGTGTCTGTCGGTTGCTTGCTTTAGTCGCTGTTTGGTTCACCTGTTCGTTTACTTATCTGTTCGTTCAAGTGTGTATTCCTAAGCGTGATTATTTATCCGTTTATCTGTTTATCTGTTTATCTAAGGTTACTGTTTATTGGTGATTCGTGCGGTCGCCTTGGGAGAGGCTGACCCAAGTCGAGGCCGAGCGCCCGGGCGGAGGGTCCGGGCGAGGCAGGGTCCAGGGCGAGGCAGGGTCCGAGGGCGAGGCGAGGGAGGTCCGGGGCGAGGCAGGGTCCGGGGCAGGCAGGGTCCAGGCCGAGGCAGGGTCCGGCGGGAAGGGTCCCGGGGCGAGGGCAGGCAGGAGGGGCCGGGCGAGGAAGGGTCCGGGGCGAGGAAGGGTCGGGGCGAGGCAGGAGGCGCCGGGGCGGAGGGTCCGGGGCGAGAAGGGTCCAGGGCGTCCGGGGCGAGGCAGGGGGGCGAGGCAGGGTCCGGGGCGAGGCAGGGTCCGGGGCGAGGGTCAGGCAGGTCCGGGCGAGGAAGGGTCCGGGGCGAGGAAGGGTCCGGGGCGAGCAGGGAGGAAGGCCAGGGCGAGGCAGGGTCAGGGCGAGGCAGGGTCCAGGCGATCCGGGGTCCAGGGCGAGGCAGGGTCCAGGGCGAGGCAGGGTCCAGGGCGAGGCAGGGTCCAGGGCGAGGCAGGGTCCAGGGCGAGGCAGGGTCCAGGGGGTCCAGGCGAGGCAGGGTCCAGGGCGAGGCAGGGTCCAGGTCCGGGGGGCAGGGTCCAGGGCGAGGCAGGGTCCGGGGCGAGGCAGGGTCCAGGGAGCAGGGTCCAGGGCGAGGCAGGGTCCAGGGCGAGGCAGGGTCCAGGGCGAGCCAGGGTCCGGGGCGAGGCAGGCGGGCGAGGCAGGTCCGGGGCGAGCAGGGGTCCAGGGTCAGGTCCAAGGCGGGGCGAGGCGTCCAGGGCGAGGCAGGGTCCAGGGCGAGGCAGGGGTCCAGGGCGAGGCCAGGGAGGCAGGTCCAGGGCGAGGCAGGGTCCAGGGCGAGGCAGGGTCCAGGGCGAGGCAGGGTCGGGGCGAGGCAGGGTCCAGGAGGCGAGGCAGGG